GCAGCCGAGACGGCGGAGGCAAAATTCTTGAATAATAATCGCGGCACTGCCATGCTGGGAAGCTCAGACTTCTGGCGGACATGTAGGCGCCGATCTCACACGGGAGCACAATCCATAGGTGAGTGTTTGGTGTACCTGGCGAGACATTGTGCTGAGTACGCCCGATCATCGGGCGGGTGGGTATGTGTGGGTGCTCTCATCCAGAAGATGATGACAGACGGAATCTCACGTGCCGCTACTGCTCTCGCCATGCATGCTTTCTCGGTGCTGCCGTCAGGAGAGATCGATGTTCTCGGTATCCGATCAGATGATATTATGATCATCGAAGGAACGAAAGTAGATGCGCAGTGGAATTCTTTCCTGACTCCCGACGCCTCACGCGACACAGTCGTCGATGAGGAAAACGGGAATCGAGTCATCAATGTCGATAGAGCGGAACGGGCCGCCAAGCCCATCCCATAGTTCTTTCGCGCATGTCAAGGACACTCTTGTTTTGCTCACGATATTGAGCGCATGTATGCTCATTGCGAGTTTGGGATGGCGCGGCGTCATGGGCACTTGTGGCACGTTGCATCCATGGAGGCTACAAAGGAATCAACTCTTGGAGGTGGGGCCATCAAATACCCGGGTAAGCAACGGATTGTGCGAGGCGCCGGATTATGGCATTCTCAGATTGATACCAACGAAACATGAATTTCTCCCAGAGCACGCTCAGTATATTCCTCACTGGCTGAGCCAGCGGAAGGACGGTGAAGCTCCACCCATCAGGGCGTGCCAGGCTGAGGGCGCCGTTTCTGTCGGCGGTGGATTGCCCGCTCGAGGACAGCGGCCTCGAACAATTATCCCACATTTATCGGGCATTGAAGCGGCGCACAATGATAATTGGCAGTGCGTGATTGTCCTTAAACGGACGGGCATTGTCTCGCCTTCGATACCGCATCTGTCGCAATGGAACTCTCGTAACGACAGGCGAAGCGCGTTTTAATAATGTTTCTCGAATTGTACAACTGGTAACGGTGCGTCAGACAGGCATAACCATCAGGCGCTGATGGCGTGGACCTTGATCTTTCCCCAAGAACGGCCTGCATGGGAAGTTGCTTTCTCGCCTGATGCCATCAGGACGTGGATTTTCTCTGACGGGGATGTAATGGACGCCAGGCGACCCATTCTTTCCGATGGGGAAAATGGCTTAATATTGCAGAAACCGTGGGCTGATGACGGCAGGTGCACTTGTGCTAGCTGCCATGCTGTAAGGGCAGGTTTTGGACATCGTTTATATTGCCATGTCATGGTCAAATTCCAGTCGAATGTCAGAGCGAATGATCTGCATCAGCCGGCCGAACAGGCGTTGTCTGCTGCCCGGGCGCCACTGGGCCTGGAGCCGCGTCCGAAGAACCCCCTAAGGGGAGAGAACCGGTCCAAGGCCATTTGTAATAGGCTAAGATCGACGAACAAAATCTCCGCTGATGCCTTAGACAATCTGGCCAAGGTTGAACAGCATCAACGTAAGTGGGCCCCGTAATAAGGTGGCGTCGGCCGGTGGGACATACATTACTTCGATGCCAGGGGCTGTTCCTTCATGGCGCCCCAGCAGCGCCTCGGCACAGCCACCGGCGCGACATGAACCTTTCTTCCAGTATCTTGAACCCTCGACGCTTAGATTTCTCGATTGGTTGAAACACAATCATGGGGATGATGATCGCCCCGCTGCTGCCCAATGGTGGCCATATATCTGGACACCTGACCTTGACCACTGCGCTCGCCCTATGAAATGTTCTGCGCTCGCTGCGTTCGATTGGGACCACGTTAGTGTAGATCTTATACAACCAGAGGTGGGCTGGGATCAGTGGGAAAAAGAAATGGATGAGAGGAGAGTTGTTATTCCAACGTTGCAAATATTGATTGACAATTTTGGAGCGGCGAACCAATCGTCCGCATTTACCACTATTGGAGATATTTAGTTTCAAACTGTTGTTGATCTTCATCACCGGCCAAGCCGTAGTGATGATGCGATTTTACAACGTGAAAAGAAGGCTGAAAGGTCGAATTGTGTTTCCAACGTATACAGTGCACAGCGTCACGAGATGATTCGTGCAGATAGGGACGTGCCTTTCTGGCTTGATGTGCTCTCAATTTCTGACTGTATGGGTGGTTACAAACATGACAACGACATATATAGGAGGTCAGATGTCACCAGAGTTGCAACACAGTTTGTTATTGAATACATGGCGGTTGACCCAAATTCGAGGCAACTGGATTCGGACGCGATTCATGAAGTGCCTCCAGGCTCAGGAGAGCTCATAGATCAGATTTGGGATCAGCCGTTCAACCGTGTCCCTGTCCATGGAAGATGGGGAAGGGTTCTTTTAGTTCTGCGCGAGATGATATTCTCGTTTATAAATGCGGGGATTTCTATTGCGTTTCCCGGGTATGAAGTGCAGCGTACTCCGATATATGATCAATCCTTGGAGGATGCTTATGCTCTGGATTGCCGAATCTGATCAGCAATCGAAACATTCGATTTGTTTGATAATTGGCTTGAAGGATTTGGAACTGAGGTTTCCAAGACCGCACAAGATAATTGTTCCAGCATTCATGAAACCATTGTCTTCATTAGCACGTTGACGGATCAACCACAAAGTGTCAACATTTGTTTCGGTGGTAGCCTTTTCGGAGGTTTTAGTACCGATAAGGCTATCGGAATCATTAATTTCCTTGAAAAGACAAGAGCGGAGAGCGGCATGGCCGAATCTCCCACTGAGACGGTTCAAGCTGAGTCACCAGCGGGCGGCCCGGCTTCAGTTGCTGACAATATTGCTTCGCAGCGAACTCGGCAACGTTCTCGCCCACCTCCGCGGCCGCGAATGCCACGTCGGAAGCCGTCTTATCGCGCTGCCCCCCACCCGTCAGCGTCCGCCGGCACAGCCGCGTCAGGCCACGAGACTGGATGCATTGATTCGGACAGAGATCGCTCCTGGGCGGATGAGTCCAGGACTGAGGCATATATGCCGCAATTACTGGCAGTTACGCCGGGTGGCGGATCCTCCCGCGATGGCAATGGCGCTGGGCCGCTCATGGGCGGCATCTACGACGCGACCGTCGACTACGAAGACAAAAGCGAAACGGGAGATATGCAAGGATATTGTGTGTGTTTCTCGAGCCCAGCCAGTTACTGGCCAGGGCAAATAGTGGCAATGGTTTAGTCTGGTTGATTACAATGAGAAGTTCCATCTTTCTTCCGGAACATCATGGACCTTGCGAGCGCCCGCGCCTCCGCCTGCGCCGAAGGCGAGTTCGTCGGGGAAGGGCCAGGGCAAGAGTGAGCAAAGTGAACGGGGCCCGCCAAGTGGCTGGAGCGCAAGAAGAGAATGGCAATGGGAGGACCCTTGGGAATCAAGAGGCCGCAGGAGAAGATGAAGATGAAGATGGCTGGATCCTGCGCGACACAGTCGAGGCTGGACCGTGCTACTTCGCGGGGCGGACGCACCAGGTGTGCATGGGCATTGAGACCTGAGCTGCGAATATTAGCTCAGGCGGGAAACGCCGGGCTTCTCCGGCCTTCCGCCAACGGGCACCCACCGTTGAGCGGCAAAACTGTTCTTTAGGGGTTTGCTCTGGTGGTTGTGCATATGTACAGGCCTGGCGGGCGGGGGGTCGGGGCGGCTCTACGTATCCCGCCGCGGGGGGGGGGGGCAATGCACCCCTCCGCGCCGCCAGGTCCCTGCCCTTATCACCTCTCCTGCTCACTTCTCACTGGCTGCTTCTCTCCTTGCTTTGGACATCTTGTGTTCCGCAGCTGTTATGGTCAATTGACGGCTCAGGTATAGCGGAAAAGGAGCGCGCCAGCGCGCGGCCGCGCGCGTCGGCCGGCGGGCCGGCCGCCTCCTTTCAGTGTTGTATCTGCTGCATGCGCGACGGCACAATCCTATCTTGCCCACGTCATCTGTGAAGCCCATTGGCTATGAGACATCATCGGGGCATATCGCAGGGATAATGATTATCCAAGCAAAAGACTATACCCGACTCTACTCTATCATCTATTCTACTCTACAGCACTTTGTTCTACTCTACACTGCTCGATTGTGCCGTATTTACCCTACCCTACCCTACACTACATTATGGTATTTTCTTTTACTTTACTACACTCTACTCCTAGACCTGCTCTACTCTACTCTGGTGTACTTTACACTGTATTCTAGTAGACCCGATGTTACTCTACTATCTACCCTATTGCTTTTTTAATTTGATTTATTCTACTGTTCGATTCGACCCTACCCTACCCTCACCTGAGTTTCGATGCGGCCGTAGCAGCTCAAGACCATCGGCTCGTGCTCCGTCGTCTTTGTTGTCGTCGTCGTCGGCGGCGTCGTCGTCGTCTTCACCGTCACCGTCGTCGTTGTCGGCGTCGTTGGCTTCGTCGTCGTTATTGTCGTCGTCCTCGTCCTCGTCCTCGTCGTCCTCGTCGTCGTCGTCTTCGTCGGCGTCCTCGTCGGCATTGTCACCGTCGTCGTCGTTTGCGATTGGCGAAGACTAAGAGGGGGGGGCCGGTTCGACCCCGCCCCTTGCAATTCCTCAGTGGAAGGCCCCCCCTGGTTCGAACACCCACCCTCTTGCAAGTCAGAAGTGGACCCCACCCAGTTCGCCGTCTCCCTTTTCCACGCGTCCACAGAAAACGTTTTTTTCTCTTCTGTCAACACGTCCTGGTCCCCTCCTCGTCCGCGCACGTGCCACGGGCCAGGACTTGTCTTTCTTTGGTTCCATGAGATTCCACGTCTCGAACGGATTTGAAATATTATGAAAATCGGCGCCAGAGCCCTGGACTCCATCTTTCTTTCCTTGCCATTTTCCAAGCCGGATAGATCTGTGAGGGCACCGTGGCCCAACATTGGGCGAACACGCGCGGCTCGAAAAAATCGAGACGCCAGGATCTCAGGGGTCGTCGTCGTGGTCGTCTTGCGACCCCCCCTCCTGGACGCTCCCTCCTTGGGCGCCGGCGAAAGGAGCAGAGCAACGCCTCCCAGCCCGCCGAGGAGCAGCGCAGCTCGGCAGCGGACCCTGCCGAGGAGGATGGCGGCGTCGGCCAACCCGCCGACGAGCAGGGCGGCGCCGTCCGGCCTGCCGAGCCCGCCGAGGAGCCCAGATCGGCGACCACACAAGGGGTGCGGTGACGCCGGGGTATGGTCTGCGATCGGCGCCGTGGGGGCGTGCACGGGGTCCCCAAACGGCGCCAAAAAGGTCTGACGAGCCCTCGTTGGAGCGCGGCGGGGATCTCTGTCGAGGTCCTCGCCCGCCCTCCGAGGCGCGGGTTGCAAACCACACCCTTCGGAGTCACCGGCCAGATTTTCGACGATTTCAAAATCCTGGTGTTGTTTCTCAATTTCGGCCTCTAAAGCTCGCCCCTGACATCCTGGCGTTTTTTTGCGTTCGAGCAGGTGTGTTTTCGCCTGGTTCCGGGCCCTGGGGCCCTCACAAGTCGATTCGGCCAGAAAAAAAAGGGGTCCGGGGCTGTGGTCGTGATTTTTCACGACCCTGCGCTTCGTTCGCTACGTCGGGTCACAGGGGCTGTGGGGCTCCAGGGCCATCAGAAACGGATTCGAGATGAAACATCGGGGGTTGCTACGGGTCCCCCTGACCCACGGTCCCCCAGCTTTGCGCTCCATTTCAGGAGCCCTGGGGCCCTCTGGGCCTCGTGAGGGGTGCTCTAGAGGCCGTGGGGGCCTCCTTGGATATGCTGGTACTAGCAACACCCGGAAAAACTACCCCCCAGGGCAGTGGCGAGCTCAGGGGCCGCGGGTTGAAACATCAGATCGTCGGATGTCCTGTGTCTAGGCCGCCCCGCCTGCCGGGGAGCGGGGCGGTGCCGGCGAGCCCGCCCCAGAGCGGGGCGACGCGGTCCACCCCGTGGACAAGCAGGCGAGTCGAACCGCAGCGCACTGCCGTTGCTTCTCCTCCTGCCTCCGCCGCTGCCTTGCCTTTTGCTGCAACTTCTTCTGCCTCTTCTTCCGTTTCCTCCTCCTCGGCCTCCTCTTCTGCCTCTTCTTCTGTTCCGTCCTCCTCGGCGGGCGCTGCGCTTACTTCTTATCATTATTATTATTCCGCCTGCTCCTTCTCATCCTTGCTTTTCGTCCTGCTTTTCCCTCCTTGCCCTCCTCCTCCTCCTGCTCATCCCTATCCTCCTCTGCCCTTCTTTTTCATCTCTCTATCCCTCCCCTCCGCGGATCGCCGAGGTGGTGGATCCGGAGCCCATGCCCATGATCTCCACAGACGAGGTGCTGTCCCCGGAGGAGACGGAGGAATCCCCCGAGGAGATGAGGGCTAGGATCAGGAAGGAGCTTCTCAAGGACATGTCCGCCACTACCACGCGCGCCGAGTCCCCTGCCGACGTGGCGGACGAGATTAGCGAGGAGCTTCTGAAGGAGATGTCCGTCAGCACCACGCACTTGGAGAGCCCTGCCGATGTCGCCAACGAGATTAGCGAGGAGCTTCTGAAGGAGATGTCCATCAGCACCACGCACGCAGAGACCCCAGCCGAGGCGGAGAGCAGGATAAGGGAAGAGCTCCTGAAGGCAATGACAGCCAGCTACACTGCCCCAGAGACCCCCGTCGAGCTGGAGAGAGAGACGAGGGATGAGCTCCTGAAATTGATGTCTGTCAGCACCACGCCCGCAGAAACTCTTGCCGAGAAGGCAAAGCGGATGAGGGAGGAACTCCTCAAGGATATTTCAGACATCACCACGCCCACGGAGACCCCCGCTGAGGTCGAGAGCATGGCGAGGGATGAGTTCCTGAAGGAGCTCGCGGCCGAGACCACAGCCCCAGAGACGCGAGAAGAGATGAAGGCCAGGATGAAGGCTGAAATGTTGCGTAAGCTGGAGGAGGAGGCGCTAAAGGAGAAGCAGAACATGGAGGCAGATGTGAGGAATGATCTGCATGACGAACTCAGCAAAGGGACTGTGGACGCAATGGGGGAGTAGTCTGCACGTTCCTGTAGTGAAACGGGCTGGGGTTATCTAGTACGTATGTTTGTTGATTTAGGTCACATGTTGCTAGGACTGGTTTCTTTGCTGCTACGCCTGATTGAGGACGGCAGCGATGGCAGATGAACCTTGTTCTTGGTATAGGTTCGCGCTGTTAATACAAAAAACCTTTGCTTGTGGCGGTCGGCACGGCGGCGGATATTGTCGTCAGTTAACAAGTGGTGGGCCATCATTTTTCGCTTGTGTCGCGTGATATTCATTTGACCTTGCACTAGCTCGCAATCGGTACGCGGTTCATGCCATTCTGATCTAAGCCGGAATTTCTTTGGAAACACGCTTGATTCGCAAGCGCGCTGCATTTGATCCATCCGTGAACCTCATTCAATTCACATTCTGTTCAAAGGGCAAAGGCCAGTGACACACTATCGAGGCAACGTTGGGACACCATCGTCATTCTCTCGGGACATCTTCAACGAACCATCGGGATACCATCGGAGCGCCATCGGGCAACAATCTGGACACGGTAAGCAAACCAGGACGCCATCACCAAATTGGGTCGCCATCATCCACATACCATCGGGAAGCCATGCATTGACCATCGTGACACCACTGACAAGCCATCGGGACGCCATCGGGACACTACTAGCAACACACTTCGACGCCGTCGGAGCACCGCCGAGGCACGACGCAGAAGCCAGATGGGGCACATGTGGGCCATCCTCGCGAAGCAATTGGGGGACCATCGGGACACCACTGGCAGACCATCTGGACACCACGGTCGGATCCTCAGGGAGGTCCGAGGTCCGCCCCGGCTGTCCTCGCGCCCTCTTCCCTTTTCGGCGCGCCCTTCGCCAGTCTCGCTGGCCAGCCCGAGTGGTCCCCGGGTTTTCGGTCGCGCACTGAGCGGTCGCTGCATCCTGGACGCCTGAGGGGCTTGCATCCTCCCAATCAGAACCCACGTCAAGGACAGAAGCTTTTCAAGCGAGGGATCCTTGCCTCCCTCCTTCCTTGGTGTCCTCTGCATGCCTGATGCTTCCCCCGCTCCAAGGGTGCCCCAGAATCTTGGCGCTCTCGAGGTGTCTTGCATCTTTTTACCGTTGGCTCGAGACGTACTAACGCAGCAGCGACCCTGCCATGGGCGGTCAAGGTTGAACACCGCCAATGGCCCACAATCCGCCAATATGGAACGATCGGGCGATCTTAAGGCCACCAGTCGTTCAAGGTTGGGCGATCCACGCGGTGTCAGAGACCAACGTCGGGGCCGTCACGGCACGAACTTGCCGGTTGCGATCCTCATGTTTGTCTTGTTCTTGGACGGTGAGTTTCATACGCCTTGTATTTCAGCGCCTCGCACGTCGAATAGGTCTGATAGTGAGCACATGCCGCGCGCCTGGTATGTGTTTCGTGCCAGTTCTGTCCAGTGCATTTGGCTGGTGGGTATTGCACCTAGCACGCATCCTTTGACGCATGCAACGTCGCGCTATTACGCGCATTACGTCTAGTGTTCCTGGTTCGCCAAATATGGCCGATGCGACCAATGTTTTTCGGAAGCCAGTTGCACCCGCATGTTTACAGGTTCGGTGGAATGTCTCCTAACGCCACACAAGAGGCCCCAGCAATGACCGAATAACCAATGAATGCGGTTGCGCCCGGCCCGCTCCGCATCAGCATTCGCGCGTGGAGGGCGCACCCTGGATCATCAACTCCTTTTGTAAGAATTGAGTCAGGAGAGTGGATACGAAGCCTGGTTTGGCCGGTGCCGCTTGAGGTCGCGTCGATTTTTGCATTGCTTGGGCTCTGGTTTGGATTTGTTTTGGCATCGCCCAAACGTACTTACACCATGTGTTCGTCGGCCTCAAAATTCCGATGCGCGCGCTCAGAAGTCTTATAGTATATGCCAGGTGGTGGGCACTGTCTGGCCATACCGCCTGGGTAACGATGTAGCATAATATGTTTGTGCTATAGTCGGCACGTGCGATTCCAAGGGGGGCGCATGGTACTAGTGTGTTCTTCGGCGTCCCATGGTTTGGCCTGATGCTGCACCCGCTGGCGGTACGCCCTGCCTGAGAGGTCCTCACGCTCTGCCTGGTCTCGGCCTCTGGTTTGGCCTGGTTTTTGGGCCAGCTTCGCTGAAGGGGTCGTGACACTTTGCTTGTGTTGGCATGGTTGGGCGCCGGCTTTGCCTGAAAGGTCTTCGCAGCTCGGCTTGTCTGGCGTTTCTTCGGGTCATGTTTCGCCTGGAAGGTCCTCCAGTCTGCTTGGCTTGGTCTGGTTCGGGGCAGGCTTCGCCCGCGAAGATCTCGCAACTTACGTGGTTGGCGTGGCTTGGGCTTGGTTTCGCATGAGATGTTTTCGGCTTGGTGCGGTGTGGGGTGCATCTTGCTTGACACGCTCTTGCGACTTACCTGGCTTGGGACCTTGTGTGGCGCGGTTCATGATAAGGTTTCCGTTTTTTGTTGCAACGTTTTGTTTGATCGAGTGAATAGTTTAAGTTTTGTGTGTAGTCGCCGACTCTCGAAACGTTGTGCTCCACATTCTGCAGCCATGGAGCCGAATCTTGACACGCGCGGGTGCTGGTGATTTTCCTTGTGCAGTGTGTTCCGCTACAGTGCCATGCCGTCGTACCCTCGCTCACATGGTGTTCGCCGAAATTCGGCCCAGGTGTTTATGCTTGCGTTAGGGCTCCCCCCGAGCCTGCGGAGTAGTGTACGGTCAGTCTTTTAGAGGGCACTTGCCTTCAAACAAGTGCAGTCTGCCTGCAGGCCCCCTTACTTGCAGGTAGACGCGTCTACTGCGCCGAGTTTGGCACACACGTCTAGTGCATATGGAAGTTTGACGGACCCAGTGACTGTATTGGGGCTCACGCCTGACACGTGTACATACTATTCTGAGTGGGTCTCTGCTCATGTTGCACGATCCCGTAATCACGTTGCCCCTGGCCTTGGCTGGTGCAGTCAACGGGTGGAAAGGAGGCATAATCTGGGCTCGGAAAAGGGGATCGGTGGGACCCCAACAGAGAACCGTGGCCCACTTGGGGATCAGAAGGGATGTCTTTCTGTACCTAAGGACCCTCTCACCAAGGCGTTGACTGCCGTCTAGGGGTCGGACGTGTGTTGTCGCGTCGTTTCTTGGGGTTGACGAAGACGGCTTGGGAAAGGTGAGGTGACGAAACTTGTCGCATGCAGCTGGTTTAAGCTCTACCGCTGGGCGCTTCCTTCGATGCATGGCCGCTTCTAGCGCCGAGCCGCGGCAGGAACAACAGCTAAATGCAGTTGGCTTCCTGGCCGCGCTTTGCTGACCCTCCTTTTTGTCCACCCCTATTCTTGCTCCTGGCTCCTCCCGCTGTTTCTGCTCCTCCTCGTCCTCTGTCGTAGCTCCCTCACTTGCTCCGCGGGTCCCGTGCGCGCTCCACGGGGGCCTTCGTAGGACGGAACTCTTGCCACGGAGTCCGTGAGTGAATGAGGTGGATAAGAAGGGAAGGGGAGGGAGGAGCAGAAGAGGGGGAGGAGGAGGGGGGATCAGAGGATAAACAGGCCGATGTCGATGCGCTTCTTCGGGTACGCCTTTCTTGGCCTCTTCGTGTTCCCTCGTTGCCACGCCTGGGCGAGTACCAGAAAGAGGCAGCATTGTTCCCCCCGATGTAGAGAAGAAGGGAGGAGCGAAAGAGGGGGGAGGGAGCAAGGGAACTAACGAGGTTGTTTGTTAGCCGAGGGGCTTCGCGCGTGCGCACTCCGTGACTCTTTGCCAGGCAACAGCAGCAGCAGCACACGAGACCAAAAACGAATCAAAAGCTACGCCACTGAAACCACGGACAGAGCCTAAAAAGGCAAATCTGACTCCCACCCAAGGACCCCAGGAGGGCGGGAGGTGGAGGCGGAAGAGAAGATCCCGCCTCGTAGTCTTGAGCGGCCCATGGCGCGCGGGCGGCGTGGGCGGCCCGAAGCCTGGCCTGCCTGCGCTCGCGCGCCTGCTCTCGATTCGCTCGAATACGCTCGAGCTGCTCCTCGGTGAGGGGGGGAGGAAGAGGAGGAGGAGGAGAAGAAAGGGAAAGCCCAGACATGGCAGTAAAATTCACTGCCTCTGCACACATAAGGTCAATGTGCGTTTGTTCCTCGACAGCCTCATTCTCGGGGTCCTCCTCCCACGGATCAGTCTGTTGCTCATCCGGCCCTGGGGCTGGGGACTCACCCGAGGTGGCGATCGAGGGATCTGAATTCCTTTGGGAAGGCTCAAACCCGAAACGCTCCAACTCAGGATCGACACGACGACGACCAGATCGACGAGCGAAGTCGGGAGCGGCACAAAATCTGGAGTCCAAGTCTTTCGACCAGGGAACATAGAAAGCCATTAATCCAGCTCTCAGCTCCTCAGGGTCGGCTCCAAAACTGAAATCAGCCTCCTCACCCGACTCTTGTGGCACTACGAGAGCGGAAAGGCTGTCAATAACGGCCGAAGCTATCGCCTTGGACAACCCGCTAGAGTACGTCTTCTTAGCAGCAGTCCTGAAATCACCATTCTCCCTTTTGCCCAGGAGCGTGCTGTGCACTCCTCTGCCGTGGGAGCACTTCCCACCGCCAGGGGTGGCGAGGAGGTGGGAGCGGAGAGAGGGGAGACGGAGGCCGATAAGGCGGGTGGGGGCACGCCCAACAGAAGTCCAGTCAGTTTCTGGCGGCATGTGCTCGCATTGGTCAAAATCAACAGCACACGCATGGGGAGCTGAAACCATGGCAACGAGGGGTTTCCATCTGAAAGAAGTCGGGGCACCAGGGATCCAGGTGGCTGGAAGCGGATGCTCCATCCAACCGCTGGTGCCAGCCTTCATGTGCGCGTCGAGGAGGCGAGCTAACGCAGCTAAAAGGTGGGCCCCTGAACTAACGAGGAGGGAGGAGGGAGCAAGGAGGAGGGAGCATCGTGCAGGTGAGGAGGAGAGAGGAGCTTCAAGCGGAGCCCCTGGCAGTAGAGGGGTGCACACTTTGCGCAAGGAAATCCCAAGCCCGATCGGGCGGCTGGGAGGCCTGTGGAAGCAGTGGCGAGAGACAGCTGACCTCAGGGCAGGGCTTAATATGAGGGATGATCCTTTGCCTGTTCCGCTGCATGGCGTGGGTTGAAGGCGAGAGCAGAACCGCGGCCAGCCACGGCAGCACGCCGGTCTTCGAATTTCAAGGAGCCGTCTTCGTGCCATCATAGCAGGTGGAGCACAGTAGTTTGCATGTGTTGTTCAGTTCGTCTTTGGTGCTATCCTGTCAGCGG